AATTAGTATATTGTATATTGTATAGTATAGCTATAGTATCATTAGTATAGGTATGAGTATTAAGTATTATGTATATATGTAGTATAGTATAGTGTATGTCGTATAGTAGTAGTATATGTATAGTATAGGTATTAGTATATTGTATATGTATAGTGTATATGTATTATGTATAGGTATATGTATAGTATAGTATTAGTATAGTATAGTAATATGTATAACGTATACTGTATAGTCTGATATTAGTATATGTGTATCTAAGAAAGAAATAATGTATAGTTATATCCGGTCCCCCTTTAGTATATGGTATAGGTATAACCGTGATAGTATATCGTATACGGTATAGTATGAAGTATAGTATAGTATAAGTATATGTATATTGTATTAGTATAGTATAGTATAGGTATACATGTATAGGTATAGTATAGTATAGTATAAGTAATAGTATATGGTCTACGTATAGTATATTGTATAGTATAGGTATAGGTATATTGTAATAGTAATATGTATATCGTATATGTAGTAGATAGTATAGTATACGTATATGTATAGTATAGTATAGTATTAGTATTCAGTATAGTATAGTATACGTATAAGTAAGGTATAGTATTAGTAATACGTATAGGTATAGTATAGATGAGTATTAGTACATAGTATTAGTATACGTCTAGTAAGATATGTATAGTATAGTATAGTATAGTATAGTCATAGTATAGTAAATGAGTATATGTTATAGTAATTGTATCAGTATAGTACGTATCATATATATAGTATGAGTATAGATATATACGTATTAGATATAGTGAAGTGAATAGTATAGTATAGTATAGTATAGTATAGTATAGTATAGTATATGTATAGAATAGTATAGTATATAGTATAGTCATGAGTATAGTATAGGTATAGTATGTATAGTATAAGTTATAGTATAGTATAGTATTAGGTATGTATACGTATAGTATAGTATAGTATAGTATAGTATAGTATAGTATAGTATAGTATATTAGCAGTAGTAGCGTGGCATTGCTGTGTGTGTGAGTAGCCTGCCTTATCAGCTGGCATGCTGGCAGGCGGATGTAACACATCAGTGATTTCACTCACCTTCACCTCGGTACTATACACACAGCGCGCACTGGAGTACGCAGGATCGTAAAACAACATAGATCGGTGATTTTGACACCTAACTCCCACCGCGCCACCGTGCCAATATTCGCATCATCATTTATGATGAAATGACGCATAAATCCGTGCGTGCAATATACGGCGTGTATTTGATGACGCAGTTCAGCGACTCCGCTGGACGCAACGAAGTACGTCAGAAGAAATAAAACACATTGCGGGCTGATAATTATAAAAAAACGCGGGAATGTATAATTTTTGAACGAGCACTGCAGCATTTTTGGAATCGAATACATCTTTTGTAGAATTTTGGCGCGCCAGCACGTACGTATTTGTTCGTCTCCTCAGGGAAGAAAATGAGTTTGTGAGAAAGGTTTCTATGCCGCGCAGGAAACCCCAGACCGTCTCCGCCGTTAGCATCGCCTCGCCTGCCTTCACCTGCAGCGCATCTGGAACACAACACAGACGATCGGATAAGCAGGGTATTAAATAAATAAATAAAATAAGTAAATGAATGAATAAATAAATAAATAAGTAAATAAACAAATGAATGAATAAATAAATAAAAGCACTGAAGTGCTTGAACTGCACACCGGAGACAACAAACATGTAAATTTATTATCATCCCAAGCGAGGCTCTCCCGTACAGCCGATTATATTATTATGCAATAATATTGACCTATTTATTATTATTATTCCATTCCGTCGTTAGTTATTATTATTATTTCAATAACTAGGTCAGCGCTGCGTATCTCGCAAAGAGCATCACCAGGCACCGGTCTCGACATGACAAATATGTGTCACTGTTAGGCGCCATGCGAGTCTGCTGTCCGCTCCTCACAACCCCCCCCCTCAACGCGCCCCTCCCCTCCCCTTCTCTCCCTCGCCATCACACGTCATCATGCAGTGATAAAGGGAGAATCTTCGGCGGAAATCTACATGTTTCGTCCATGTTGGAGTGGGGATAGTTACATGTTTCGTCCATGTTGGAGTGGGGATAGTTCTACAGCTGTAACCTACATGTTTCGTC